GCTACTAGGAAGAAAATTAACTCTGTCCCAGCTGAAAGCAGGACAAGGATCCAACAGTTCAAGGCTACTCTGGAGATCCAGTGGCTTACTGGCCAAGGGCACTTCCCCTTCCCCAGGTTGCTTCTCCCATGCAAGGCTGATCTGGAAGGGAGCCCCAAGGCCTCTCCTCCAGGAGGTCACTATGATGAGGGTGGGCACAACCCGCCATGTGGTGGATATTAACCCCATCCATAGGAGCCACAGTGCCTACTTCTGGATGAAGGAAGAGGCCAACCGAACACAGAGGTCACCTGGATGACAGGGGTCTCCCAGATCCAGACTGATGGCAGTGGATCTACCCAAAGATAGTGATGGAGCTCTCCTTCCCTTTCCTAGTGGGCCTTAACTTTACTTTCTGCACAAACAGGTACACTTACACCAAGGTAACTGCTTTGGTGCATTTTGCAGAGCCCTCCAACAGAGGCACCATTTAAACACAAGCAACCCACCAGAGGAGAAAAAACATATCCAGAGAAAGAAAAAGCAAGTAGCCAAAAGCGAACCAAAACCTTTACAAAGCCAGACACCTGCTTGTTTCAGCAGTGGAGAAAGCCTGAGGAAACAAGGCACAGCTCTGCATTCCTTCTCCCATAAGCACGTGTACAGAGGACAGGAGGTACATACACCCTTGCAGGTTGTGCTGGAGCTACAAGGCCTCCACCTTGATTGCCTGGAGATGCCTGTGTGCTCCCACTGTGCAGTGGTTATTCAGGACAATCGCTCAGAGAAGAATCTGGATATATACAGCCCACTGTGGGTCCACAGGGTGGTAAGAGTTGGACCAACAAACGCAGCCTGAAGACCTACCTCTGAGGACCTTGATCCGTGGGGCAGAATACCACAGCCTTTTGGCACAAACCCCAGACTGGCATTGCCCCAAACACTGGGAAGCTGCAAGGCCAGCTGGATGCACCTCTAGATAGGGAATACGGCTGTGAGGGCTGCTCTGCACCCCCCAGGAACCACCTTTAGATCCCTAACAACTGAAGGGCCAAGTAGAAGCTTCCAGGCAGAGGGCATGATGAGATTTTCCTCTTCTCAGCTTTCCCTGCATGGGGGGGGTCTACATGGCTAGACAGGATGGCGATGATTACAGCAATCGTTCTCCAGACCCAAGCCAAATGTTCTCACTCAGTGCACAGCCCCACTGTCACATCTGCCCGTTGTGCTTCAGCACTGAGTTGCCCCCAGACCCATAGGTTCTAGGACTCCTCCATCTCCACCATTCTATAGAGCCTCATGGCTGAACTGCATCCCAGGCCTGGAGAGTTCAAGAGCTCAGTGGGTACTGACCTGCAGTTTGGCCTTCACCTTTGACTCCACATTTTCGTATTTCTGGGATTTCCACAGAGCTTTCACAGGCTTGGGATGGCTGTGCTCTTGAGCTCGCTCCTTCTCTTTGCACTTCTTCTGAATCTCCTTTATTCGCCTCATGTTTTCCTTCTCGTGGTCCTTGGACCCTTTCCCTGCACAGCAAGAGGAGGCACAGCCTTCAGCCCTCAGACACTGCCAAGGGATGCAGGCTCTTGCAGCACTAGCACCAGAGCCCACAGCTCCACCTCCAAAGCTGAACTGCCCATAGAAATAGCAAGCTCTCCCCTCTCTGCAGACTAGGCAATCTGTATCTGTGCATTTTTCCCATGTTAGATGCACACTCCCAGACTGGCCCTTTTCTGCCAGATGATCTCACAGCACCTTTGTGACTGTCAGCACACGTCTGTGCACATTACTGATGTTCACAGACTCCCTTGCTCTGAGGGCGTGTGGCTTACTTGTCCCATTTTGGGCTACGCTAGACAAGCCATGCCCACATCCTCTTGAGAGCAAGGTCAATTCCCAGTTCAGCATCCCATGGTGTTTCTGAAGTGAAGAGTGGACTGGTTAATGGCAGCTGCAGAGCCTTCAACCTGTGCTGTTCCTGGTTTCAGGCTCAGGTTCAGCTTGAAGGTGTCAAGCAGACATAATCAAGACTATGGAGCATATTTTTTGTTTTCAAATAAAAAATGATCCTTCCTTGGGCTCCCCAAGACAGGTAAGATCTCAGCTGATGCAACTAGATCCATTTCCATTCCCCTCCTGCTTTGACACAGCAGTTGTGGCAGCCACCAGCTGGCTTCCACCATGCTAGCACCCGGCAGGGCTAGGGGCAATGCCAGCACATGAAGCCAATCAAGTGGCACCCAGTGATCAGCCTTATCTTCTTCCTGGACCTCTGAACATACTCTGGGTGATCTCCCTGCTGAAGGGAACATCTTTTGCAAAGATGTTCTCAGTATCTACATATACAGACAGTCTTCCCAAATCCTGCCTGGCTTCTGTAACAAGGATATCGCCAGGTTAAACAACTTTATACATTAAGATTTCACTTGATCCATCTTTAAGTTCGACTATAAAGACACTGGTTATATTCAGAGGCAGCAAACTGGAAGGGTCCGATTTATTTCCAGCATCTCTCTTATCCATGACTAGTTCCTCAAGTCCAAATTAAACAGCATCTTTTTTACAGTCTCTCTTCCCACTGCAGACCTGGGCCAGAGTGGAGTCAGGGAGGCTGCAGGAGGCTGCAGCAGCACCCACTGCAGCACAGGTGACGGCCCAGGGACACCACTGCCAGGTCAAACGGAGGAGATGGGGCCACTGGCCCTGCGAAGCTCAAGCTCTCCTCAGGCAGCAGAGACAAGGAATCCACCCAAATCCCTGATGCTTCATCCCTGGCCCCAAACGCAACTCAGGCCAGCAGCAACTCAGCTGTACTTACTCTTGACTGGCAGCCCTCCGCCAAGGGAGATCCCTTCGAGCTGCAGTAAGAGACTGAGCGTCCCCTTCTGTCCCTTCTCCAGAAAGTCCTTTCCACTGGGGCGAATGCGAGGGGCTGGCTGGATGTGGCGGGCAGTGCCCAAAGCAGGGTATGGGTTGAGAACTAGGTCCAGGGGGCCAGAGGTAAAATCCAGCTTCTGAGCATTCCCTTCCAGCCTCCCTCGAGCTACAGAGAAAGAAAGAGAAGGAGATTATCAGGAAATGATCTCATCTCATGGTTTTCTTCACCCACAGCCTACAAAACACTGAAAACCCTCTCTCCACCTCTACTTTATGCTTTTCCATCTTTCAAACAGCTGTACAGACTAGCTTTAGGATCACCATCTGTGAGGCAGCATAAGCACCTGCACCAGTGTGAGTGGAGACTGTTGAGGATGCCAAAGAATAAGGACACCAAATGGGCAAACTGCGTCATGCCAAACTACAAAACCCCATATCTGTAACAAGCATCAAGGACTCACCTGAGAAGGGGCGTTTGTAATAGTCTGGAATGAGTGTAGGGTCTGGAGGAATGGGTCCAGAAATCCTTGACGGCCCTTCACACATCCTGCAGTCGCTCTGCCTCTGCCACAGAAACCAGCCACCACTGAGAACAGAAAAGAACAGGGCTTACTGAGCCACTGAAAAGCTACATTTAAAATATAAATACATATAGGTGAACTTCTGACCTTCATTAGAGAGCTCACACCCAGCTACAGAGATGACCTGCAGGTAGGAAACCACCCCAAATTGGACTCCATACAGGTGAGGCAAGGGATCAAGCAGCACCGTCCCTATTGTGGGGCTAATCGGTGTTTTTACCAGTGTTGAACCTGAAATGTCCGCGGTTGCTGTAATACCGGTATCTTTACTACAGAAAATCCTTCCTGGCTTTGGTCTCCCATGTGGGAACATTTAATGCAGACATGCAAGCAGGAGCTGAGCTGCTATAACTGCCCTGTGTGCCTTAGTGAATAGGAAACACAAGGTAGCTGGACATCATCTGACATATTTTAGCCTTAGATGTGAATTATCTTGAACCTTGGACTCTTTCTAAATAGCTCCTGTGGTTCAAACACAACCTACCCAAAGCAAGCTGAAGCTCCTGCCCCACACTGGTAAACCCCTCTACTGTATCCTCTGCAAGAGACACACTGGTGCCATCACCACCCTTGAGCAGGCTGGGACTGAACCTCAAAAGCACCCAAGACAAAACACTATGCTCCAGGACCACGTAGGGGCAGACGTTGAATTTCTGGGGAAGAGCTCTGAGGCGAAAAGAGCCTGGCTGGTCTCTCAGGTCTTGGGGAAAACAGAGTTACCTGTTTAGAAAAAACATCTTTTTCATTTCTAAATAACTTTTCAATGCAGATCAACAGGGACCAGCACAGATCTGCAAATCCCTGCCCTGGCCCACACCAGTCACTGCTGCCTTTCTCTTCCCCATGACCGGTGGAGCACAGATCCTTCCAGCACAGGAGCAGCCAGCATCTATTTCCCCGCAATGCTCAACAAGATTTTGTGGACAGCACTTTATTGCCTACAAGAAACTTGAGGGACTTGCTCCCCACTCACAAAATGAGGATGCAGGATGCTGCACCAACAGGCACAGACTGCTGGTGAGCTTTTGGCAGATGCTGAAAGAGCCTTGATACCTCATCAGAGTCATGCCATGATTTTGACAGGTGCCAGGGCAGCTTGGCTGGCGTCATTGCTGTAAGAGCTGGGGCTACAACCTGCATGCCCTGACTCCCAAGGCAGTAATTTGAAGATTTCTGAGACAACTCTATGGGAAGAACACCCTTCAGGATCCTCGGCATGCCAGGACTGACAGGACGCATCATCTGCAGTTTAATTTATAAACCAATAAACGATCAGTACGAGGCTGAGTGAGTCTGAGTCACAGCAACTAATGCACTGCAGTCTTCCTTGCTAAATCACTCCGGTTGACATGAGACCCATTAGCGAAAAGCTGTTATTCACCTCCCAGACACAACTGCAGAGGCAATGTAAGCAATGCTGACTGTTGCACACCAGCATGCATGTACAGTCTGTACCCAGCTACTCTGGAAAAGCTATTTCTGAAGAGCAGACACAGGCTCTCAGCCTTAGATAAAAGGACACTGTCCTGGTATTATTTAATCTCCTTGATAATGAATCCAACTAAGCCAGAACAGGCTCTCTTATTCTAGAAAAAAAAAGTGTTCACCATGAGATCACTCCAGAACAGCTACTGGCCTTGAAATTCACATCTGATCTTGATCCGAACTCACCTTCAAACCCAGTAATTTACACACAAAATGACAGGCTGAAATCAAGACCTGTAACAGAGCAGACAATTCGTGCGGGGGATTGAAGGAGGAAAGGCAGGTTGATGGGAGGTGGCGGGTGGAAGGCTCATTTTATACCTTCACACAAGTCACATTTCACGTCCCAACAGCACTCTACCCTGCTGCAGGGAATTTGCAAATGACACCCACTCCCTGATTTGCAAGTCACATCACCTCTGGATTGGGATCTTGCAAGATCAGACAACCTTATTACAATAGTAAGCATCTTGCCTATCTAGGTACCTCCAGCAAACTCACCTATGGGGGACACAGGCCCCTAGCATCAGTCTCCCAGCCCTGAGAAGAAGCAGCCAAGCCTCAGTTATCAATGATCACTACAGACTTCCCAAGCTGCTGCTCTGCTCCTGCCAACCGCAAGCGTTTTCAGGGGACAGAAGTGAGAGAACCTCATGGCTCGCTTCTGCTAAAAGGGTATGTGTGGACCTTCTCCACTGCCAATCCCATCCTTCTGCTTCATCTCTTGTGACAGCACTGTAGCGCAAACAGCCCTATGCTGAGCCGATTCAACTCACTACTCCTGCACGAAACAAGACACTTCTTTTGCTGGGTTAGTTTTCCGCCCATTTAACCTTCTGTCCAAAAGTAACCTGGCTGTTACCTCCACAGAGGGATCAAAGAAGCACTGGAGCAAGCACCTGGGAAACGCAGCAGGAGCATGTGCCTATGAACACAGACGAGGGAGGAAGAGGGAACAGGGCCAGCCCTTTCAGCAGTGACCTGATCGCTGGCTCAGCCACACTGTCTAATTTGCACCCAGGAAAGCATTTTCTCTATCACCATGTTAGAAACCTAAACGTCAAGAGTACAGAGTACAACCTGTTGCCACCAGAAAGACATTATTTAGAGCATTCTCAGGCTATAAAATGCAGGCAGACTCTGCAAACGCAGTCCAGTTAAGTCCAGGTAACCAGATATATATGTGTGCAACTCCCCTCTCTTCTCAACCCCCTGCCAGACTTGCTAGGGAAGCAGTGACACTGCTCCTAGCCACAGGACTGCACCAACCCTGTTCCCTGCTCACCTAAAATCAGCACAGCTACAAAGAGGAGCAGGGCAGTTGCCAGAGTAACCCAATGACTTTAACATTGCTTACTTACCCTGTCTGAGCCTGGCTGGCTGCTCACTTCCCTGTCAGGATCACAGCTTAATCCTGGCCTGGCACTCCAGCAATGCAGACTCCAGCCCTACTTCTCCCAGAAGAGCATCCCTGCAATTTTAAGAACCATTAATTCAACTCTTTGTGCCCTTTGCCCCAGCTTACCAAGTAGTAAAAATGCTACTTATGCCCCTGGTAAACTGAAATAATTCAGAGCCCGTATGAACCACAGCTTCCTTTCGTAGCTTGTTTTTGGCATTGTAGTTAAGGAAACTACAAAAACGGGAATGGACAAGGCTTTGGCAGGTGTTTTTCACAGCCCTGAACCTGTGAACTCTGAAGGACTCCCTCTTCTTTCCAGATCACATTTTCACCATGCCTGGGTTCCTGGCTAGGAAGCCGCTACCACACACAGAGCTGAAGCAAGACCAGCTTCATGCCTTCATGAGCCAACCTCTGCAAAAAGCATGGGGAAAAAAAAAAACCCAAACCCACAGCTGTGATAAGCTGTGATAAGCAGAACAAGTCATCTGCAGCAAATCAAAGGGCTAATCTCTATTCAGCTGGTTGTGGCTGTTTGCTTCCTTCCTCAGCAGTTTTAGGTGAAAGGGAAAGTAGCACCATAATAACTGCCATGCCCCAGGACTGCACCAAAACATGGGGGCACACAGGTCCAGGGCCATACTCCTGCAAAATAGGCAGTCAGGAAACGAGGTCAATGTGCTGCGAACCTATCCAGCGATATTAGTCCATGCCTATGCTTTTCCCTTGCTACCCTCTGCAGCCTGCAATAGGAACGATTAATATTCTCCTTTTAATACTATTCCCCGTGCAGGTTCCCTCAGATACCACCAGCTCTTCCCCACCTGCCAGTCTCCAAGACCCATTTTCTCTTTTGTCTCTCTGAAAACAAAGGGGGCCAGGTACGGTGATACTGTTGTTTGCACGCAAGACATCTGTTCTCTAGGAGGTGGGCACGTGTCCACCAACAGCCCTTTATGAACAAAGCCAGCTTGTACAGTCTGCCCAAGGAGTCAAACACGTGTCCTGCAGCAGCAGCCTCAAGCAGGAGGCAAATGAGGGCCGTGTTCGGCACCGGAAGGTGGGCAGATGTGGGTATTGCAGAGCTGCAGCCAAGTCCTCTCTCAGGAGAGCAAGAAAGGACGACGCAAGAGAGGCCCCACCATAACGCGTGGGATTCCTCTCTGATGCAAGGACAAGCCACGTGCTGAGTTTACAGGACGTGAGGTGCAACGCTGGGTCCAGTGATGGAGACTGGAGCTGCGCGTTGCAGCCTACAGTCCCCCC